GCCCGCGCCCGCCCAGCCATGTCCGCCAGAGGTGAGTCTGCCCCCGCCAGCCCCAGCCCCAGCCCCAGCCCCAGGGCCGCGCCGAGCCGCCGCAAACTTTGGTGCAGATCTGGCGCGGGCGCGGGTTGCAGCGGCTCTGCCCTGCCCTTGCTGGGGGCCCTGGGGACGGGCTGCGGGCCCTCGGCGGCTGCCCACGACTCGGCAGGGGAAGGGCGAGGTGAGGGGAGATTTTTCTTCTCCCTGCCTGGTACCATTTTGCAGCTCTGCTGATGCTCGGGCTCCAGGGCTTGATGCAGCAAGATTTAAAGCTGCAGAGCATCCTTTAGGTTCTTGGTACCAACCCCCCAAGAGATGCAGCTGTAAACCCGCACTGGGGAGATCTTCCGAGTCCCGCTTGGTGTTGGAATGAGCTAAAATGTAGAGCTGCAAAAGGAAAGTGCCCAGGAAGCAGCAGTTTCTAATGGGGTTCCCCCCCTTTTGAATGTGACACCAACCGATACAGAGAAAGAGGATGATGCTGAGCGTGGGAATATCGGGCAGAACGCCGTAGTTCCCACTGTCCACAAAATAATAACAGATGGGTCATTGCAGGACTGCTGAACAGGGATAATGTATGTGGGTTGCTCAGCAAAATGTTTGATGACCCTACGCATTTTAGTGGGGTAATAAATACGACTGGTATGCGATGTCTTTAGCATCCTGTCCAAAAATCCCCTACCAGGAGCGTCGTAAAAGTTCAACTGCCAATTTGCATTATTTTTGCAGTAAAAGGAGACCCCAAGAGTGTGCGTGCGTGCGTGCGTGTGTGTGTGTAAAATCTGGCTCTCCATTTCTTTTGGTGGTTGCGAATGAAGAAATCAACCCAGATTACATGCAGAACACGTCTTATCTCAAACTCTGCTTCTCCCAGTTTGGGAATTGATGCAGGTGTGACTATCCAAAGACTGAGGCCGTGTCTTTGTCTCTTTAAAAATTAGTGCCCATTAAGGAATGGAGGAAATTGTTTTTCCTCTGGGGCGTTTAAAGATTTCCCGAGGGCCATGGACAAAAGATTTTTTGCATGATCTTCTCTTGTTGGATATGTGGAAGGTGGGAATGAAACAATCGTTATTACAAAAGACAAGTGAAACATGAGTTTAGAAACTCCTTTTTTACATTCCTATAAATGTTTGTGAAAGATGTGCCTGTGGTGGTACAAAGCCATGCTGTATGCCCACCTCCCCCTTTCTCTACCCCTCGCCCAGTGTCATCATTCATGGTATGACTTACTATCCGCTCTACCTGGGCAAGCCTGGCACACAGTTGACTTGAAAGGAGCATCGTGTTTGTGTGATGAGCAGCCTACATGGAAGAGCTGGCAGGGTTGGAGCCCAAAAGTGGTAAACCCTTTGCATCAGGGCCCATATCTCCTCATTTTCTGGTGTGTGTGTATATATATATATATATATATATATCTATCTGGCAAAGATCACACTGTACCAGGGAGCCCCTTGTTCAGGAAGTAATGATAATGTTCCTCAAAGAGCCCATTTCTTAAAGGTCTGTCAGTTCAGTGGAATCCATGTTTGTGAAGCGATGTCGGCAGCTTTCTCAGTGGAGAAAATCCAGGCCTGAAAATAGGGTGCAGGTTTATTGCAAGAGGAAGGGGCAGGAGAGTTTGCAGCCCCTCGTCATTTCCTCCCTGTTCCCATTGCCTCTCCTTTGTCCATGTAAAAGGGATGTTATTGGCTTGGGCAGTCTGCAGCACCCATCTGTTATTCATGCCATTTGGTGGGGAGATGGCCTAGACTTCGCAGTAGTATTCAGTACGATTAATGCAGGGGCTCAAGTCCAGAATTGTAATTTGTGTGAAATTGATGGAGAGTATCTGCTTATCAGCTGTAACAGACAGATTCAGGGGTGATTCTTCCTGCTCCAAGCAGTGAGCAACATGTGCAAGAAGATTATTGAGCCATTTGATGTTGAGAAAAGGCCGCTTCCTA